ATCACTCAGCTGCCTCACCTCCCCTGAATTTGTTCCCTGCAAGGCGATTGCGTGGTAGTTGATGCGCCCTGCAGCTTCGAGAAGGGCGTGAAGATCGGTGTTGGTGGAGACTGTCCTGGCCAGACCTCGGCGGCAGGTCTCCGAAGGACAAGCTGGAATTCGTTTTTGTGAGAAAAGCAAAGGGGAAATCGTATTGGATCCGGAGAGGGGCCTGCGGTCAAAGCACATTATTACCGCTTTTCTCCAACAAGATTGTTCATGCATCGCCTTGAGTATTCCCATCTTATTTAATCTTAATTCGGAGTAATTCCATCACACTCAATGACCGTTCAATAACCTGCTCCAGCAAAGGTTCGATGTTTGTTTCAACGCGGGCGTTTGCGCGGGAAATTTGAAAGAGCTTCAAGTTTAGATGAATGCGTTTTTCTAAGCGTATAGGCAATGAACAGGCACCAAAACTGGCGTAAAGATGCGCAAAAAAGAGTAAAAGGTGTTTGAATAATCTTGAGAAAATATTATGAGAATGGAGAATAGCCGTACCTTTTGTGATTTAGGTCTCCGGCGGAGACCTACGGGAGACCTCAGGTCTCCGATTAGCAAACACTTTTTTTGTCTCATAATTTTACGTTCTTTTTAGCAAACACTTTTTGTGCACCCCTTGGCCCAACATACAACGCAATAACCAGATCACAGCACTTTCTCCTTTCCTCGCTAGGGCCCTAAATTGTTTTTCCTTAGTGAAGAAAACGTGCTCCAAGTACACTGCACTGCAGTGCTTATCCTGATTGCACGCGTTTGTACAGGGTACAAAGGGGACTTCATAAGTTTCTGGATTTTCAAGCGGGTATTCGTTCTCGCAAGGTTCAATCGGAGACCTCGTGCCGAGGCCTGGTCCTGGCGTTGTAGGTGCAGAGCATGAGACAATCTCCATGAAGGAGATTGTTTCATTCTTTATTATTGATCCAAAATGTAACATTCTTTCACTTTCTTTCTCTCCGTCGAGATCCCATCGAGAGGTAATTTATAGAAGGTGTTCCTAGGAGATCGCTATGGTGTTCGTTTTAATATTATAAAAGGAAGATGGAAGGCATAGCGGTATAAGTGCTGATCATGGTCCCAAGAGGTCAACTTGAGTTTTTGGAGAAGGTTGGGCATCCAACAGAGCATTTTGAGTTTCAGAAACGTTGGGTGCATTCTACTTTAGGGAAAACTAATTGATTAACATTTACTAACTTTTAAATGGGATAAGTCTTTGTTTCTGGCTTATGCATGCTTTTTCCCAACTTCTTCTTGACTTATCACCCTTTCAAACCTTCCCACTACTTCCATCTCATTTTCCACCCCATTCTAACCGCTCATCTTCATATCCCAAAGCCTCCAAACAAAAAAGAATGTCGCGTTGTTTTGCATACAGAATAATTAGCCACAGACTGTATTTGCTTTATGCATTCTTCCCAGCTTATGGCTGCACGGGCTAGTTGCCTGGTACAGACCCCGCATAAGCGGAAAAACGCGAGGTTAAAGAATCATTGTGATGCGTGCCCATTAGTCAATTTGCGTCCAGTGTCAAAAGGCTTCAAAAGACATATATCTAGTAGCGTCAATTATACTCATAATTCGATTACTTAATCGACCAAAGACGGCAATCTATGTTCTAAGGCTTTTATTTAGGTGATAGAAGAGCTTATATCCATCTTCGATGCCACGCCATTTTCATCTTGTCTATTTATTTTCTCTATACGCGTTAAGCTCACCGTCTCCTTCGCGGACCTGTTACCCTTTACTTTTACATGGTACGCAATTTTCCGTGATTTCGTTCAATGCTCTTTTCTCCTTATATTAGAATATTTAACAAATACTGAACACACTTTGAAGCTTTTTCTCCGCTTTACAAAACGGCATTCATCCTGCCTTCAAGTCACTGACTTTGCTTTACTTTTGAGTTAACAAGAGAAAGACACTTTGTCGAGTGACCATTTTTGAGATGTTTGGTTAAAGAAGTTCAGGACAGGCTCTTCTGATTCGCCTCCCATATGCGGAGCGGGTCTTGGAAAGAAGTTGTGAACTTTCCTGATGGGCAAAGAAGACGCTCGAATGCAATGGTAGCTCTGGTTGGAACATTGGAACATATTTTTTGAATGAAAGAATATCGAATATCCGTTCGTAAAAATATTTGAACGAATAAATATCATTCGAATTTAAAATATATTTCAATTAGAATATTCGAATAGTGAGGATTTTGTATATTCGACTATTCGAGTTATCGAATGATTGAGCATGAGAATATTCGCACATTCGAATAATAGAATCGGAGCGTATTTTCGAATATTCGACTATTCGAGCTGCGAAAATCGAATTATTCGAATATTGCAGTCAAACCTAATTACGCAATCTCAATCAAATTCAGTGATTTTGCATATATTCGATCGAATTTTATTCGAATCTCTGTTCCAAAACCATTCGAACTCAAATATTTTAGCTATTCAAATAATCAAATAGATGCGTTTTTTCGAATAGAATATCGAATAGAAATTTTCGAATACTGCGTTGAACACGAATATTCGGTCCCGACTGTAATGGTAGCACTGCATGCTGAGTGATAAGCATGCGGTTCAAAAGGTTTGCACTTTTTCAATCAAATCTTTGCATTTGCAAATGATGTATGCATACAACTCAACAATAAAACTGGACTTTCTTAGAGGTTGTAACTATTTTGCCCTTATAAGAATCCGCTCAAGTTTGTGCACTATGTTAGCGAAAGTAGGGGTTTCTTGCAACTATGCACGAAATTTCAAAAATAAGACTT